GCGTGTCTTTACAGAGAAACCTTGATCCAGTTGCCCTTACTCAAAGAGAACAAGGTTGCATTTTTCAGTACGACGATAGTGATCTGAATTAGTTGCGGTGTAATTAGGCGTTGCAATTACGATATCCTCCGTTAAACAATATTTTTTTTTTGATACTGTGATTGATACTTTAATAACTGAATTATTTATATTAATCTTGTTTTAATTTATTTTCTAACATAGTATGCTTCTTATCTTCATATTTTTAATTTATTTATTATTTTGTTTACAGTCAACACTACTGATATGTCCAAGATGTTGACTTTCAAATGTGTGCGTTTCTTGAAGCAAACAGTTTCAATAATTTGGCCTTTATTCCCAAAAAATCCTATAGAATATTGATATTATATAATAAATTATTAAGTAATTAATCCAATACCACCTTAGTATTTTCCGAAAATTGGCTATAACAGGAACAGACCTTTTGCACTATGCCTAACAATGCCTAGTATCCCGGTTCCGAATACCTTTCACGTCTTTTTTAAAGAAATATACTTTTATATTTAAATTAAAAAAATGAAATAAGCGAACATTTTAATAGTTTTTGTTACATTTTTAAAATATATTTCGTATTAATTTCATTCTTGACGTTAGTCAAATGTTAATTTTCAATTACTTTGAGGTGAAATAATTAAAAATGTAAACTATATAAGGCTTTCAGTGCGACTTATAGTTTAGTCTCCTTATTAAGACAAATTAATGGGTCTAGTTATTAAGGCTAGAAAGAGTGGCAATGCAAATAAAATGGCAAAAACTGATTAAATATTTAAAAATGCTTCTTTCTGCTTCCTTACATTCATTAAATATATTTGTTGTCAATTTTGTATAATCATAAATTGGTTTTAGATAGTTAAAATTAATTTATTCAACTCCACTTGAAAAAATAGCAATGTCATTAATATTGATTGAAATATAAGTCAAGCCTTTTTATACTATGACGGGTAAGTACGATTCAGAAACGAAATCAACTAAAAGATCCAAAACATGGTTCATTTAAGGCCAAACACGTACGGCCTTAATAGTTACATAACATCTCATGGATTGTATAACAATGATATGCTTACATCACGCATGGTGTTGATCAACCTTGACTTTCACCGGCACCAGGCACCTTGACTTTAACCCCGTACCTTAAGAATGCAAATTTTAAGTAACGAACCTTGAAAGTTTTGTGGTCATTTTGTGATCATTACCTTTTTATTGCGCTTTCATAAGATTGTTCAGGTATTGTTTTGAATAATTATGTATTTTAATTTATAAAACATTAAAGTTAATAATATAATAATCGTATTCAGTTTATTTACTCCACCCGAATTATTTTAAGATTTCTATCCAAAATTATATAATTTGATTTTTTAAGGACCATAAGTCGAGATTTTAAAAATATACGTAGAGTCTTATTAAATGAAAAAATGGACAGAATTATGAAATTTCTTCCAGACATCCTTCAGTTCAAATGTTTTTTTAAGTATAAACATTAATAACGTAGAATCAAGTTTCTTAAATACAGCCCGCCATTTTTAAAATATGTATGGAAAGAGACATTTATAATTTACTGGCACGTAATTAAAAAAATATTTAAAAAATTTGAATGATATCTAGACAGAAGTCCTAAAAACGTAACATTTCAGTAGCTGACTCAGAGCCAAATGGGATCTGGATGGAGAATGGCAGCGAAAATTTTAATTCTCTTAAAATGAAGAAAAAATAGGATTAACAAAGGCAGAGAAAAGTTTTTGAAACTAAGTTTTGAAACATCCTCATAAGTTGTATCTCTATGGAGCAAAACTGAATATGAGCTGAAGTCCATTTCTCAGTTATAACAAAAATAGTAGAAAAAGTGTAGGCTATTTTTATTTAACCAACAGTCACAATAAAAACAATGATCTTATCGGCTATAAAACTAAAAAGTTGTGCACATTATTAACCAACGTAGTATAATTAATAGATAGAGGATTTAAATGCGTATTAAAATTTATGTGAAATAATCTTATATATAAAGGTACTACTGACTGTCAACAAGGAAGTCAAATACTTTACTCTGAACAGTCAACGAAAATATTTTTTATTATTTGATCCAGATCATTAAACATATGTAATTTAGTAGGTAATGCACTCTTAATAAAGAATATTAAGGAACTAGTTAATATTTTAAAAACCATATTTGTAAAATATTTTCGATTGTAAAATCTTATTTGACTGAAGAAGTAACAGGATAATATATTGAAAATTGCTTACAATAATAACGGGTTTAAGATCCGAAAACTAATAATGAATTCTTCTTCATTTAAAATAATACTTTTTCCTCAATCTATTTAATCATTAAGTCCCACAAATAAAAGCAAAAAAAGAACAGGTTTGGTTGAAACGTTTTTATAGATCGAAGCGTTTGAAGAGGTACTAATAATAAACCACTTAATTGATAAATGAGTATGTTTAATAGATAAAAAAATATTGTACTATTAAGAACTTGAATTACTGTAGTGATACATATTTTATTGCTCTAAAAACGCTTACGCGCCATAGAACTTGTTTAGAGGAGACGCCATCAATAGTTCCGCATGTCTTTGACAAGTGTTAGCAAGCTTCTTATAAGGGTATCTGCTATAGTTGTTATCTTAATTAATTTGCTTTATTCTAATCGTTAATAAATATTTCATTATTGAAACCATTTATGGAGCTTTGAATCTAACTGATTAAGAAATAAATGAATATTTAATTAAATAATATTATAAATGACACTCAAAAAGTCTTTTTTAACTAAAATTCTAAAATAGTCATTAAAATAGTTTTTTCTGTTTATATATTGTAACGAGCTATTTTTAATTAGAAAAGTACAGTGACAAACGAACTCAGATTAAAAAAACAAGAATGCGGTAGTAAGGTATCGCGGTACTAACAGTATCCTGTACCAGACCTTCGGCTTTAATTTTTGTAATTAAATTGAAAATTGATCCGGTACTTGGAAAAATTCTTCTAATAATCATAAAATTTAGGGGCGACTGATTAAGTGACTTACTGGCAGGTTATCCAAAATCGATATTGCCGCTACAAGGCTCTCGTAAACAGATATACCTATAACGGGGTTGGAATTAGAGTTCATCTTTTTATAAATAGTAATCATAAACGTTATCTTAACAAAATAACTGTGTCAAAATTAAAATAAGAATATATAATTTCATCATCAATGTACAGGCGTAGAATTTTAAGGTTTAATTATACAAGTCCTTAAAACCATTAAGGATTTTTTAAACAAAAATATCTCGGAAAATTAGGCAATAATAAACATTATTCAGTTTTTTCAAAATATAGTAAAGGTTAATTATTTAATAAAACAATTTTAAAAAATCAGTTTTTTGGTGATAGAAAGGGATGAATCCTTAAACAATAAAATTTGGTTTCTCTTCGTATTATCATGAAATGAATGGACATCGGTAACTTTAACAACAATTACTAAGATGACCGGAATGTGGTATTATATATATAAATTTATTTTTAGTTCACCATTTGGTATACAATAACTGCTGTATACTAAATGGAATAAATAATAAAACAGCGATTTATCCAAGGCATTGTTACTGACAGCGTCAGCTCACGTCCGCCGTCGGGTCAGGGGTAAACATGCTATTGTAAAATTACTCGAATTATCTTATTATATATATTACAAATTTGACTTATTACCTGTCCAATATGCTTGATATTTTTTTAAATAATGAATGTCATATAATGTTATAAAACCTCTAAATAATGTTATGAAAAGTGAACATTGATTATTTTAGAATTGTATTATCAAATTAAATGAAAATTTGTTAAATTATATTATTTACATTATATGAGCAAAACAATTAACGATCTCAATAAATTTAAATATCTGTCGGAACTTATCAGATTGTGTTGTGGCCGGAAATCTAATGGTCCTTGTTTGTATTCTCATTTACTAATACATATTCAATGTACAATCGATATTTTATTGCATTTAACTATTCTTGTTTCCTTATTTTTAATTATTTCATTAGATTAATTATTATATGTATACGAAATAAAAAAATATTGTGTTAATTCATGTTATTTACATTTAACATTATTACATGTTTATATGAAGTCGTTAGACTCATCATTCGAACATTTATTCCTTCTTCTGTTTTATGTAAAAATATATAGTTTTAAAAAATAATACTATAATAACCCAGTTATTATTAAAATATCTATAATTTTGGTTCTTATTATACATTTTACAGATATTACCCAGTTTGAATATTAATAAAGTAATATGTTAAGTAAATTTATGAAGATATATATCTGTAAATTAAGACGCAATTTGATTTGACATATAATTACAGTAATTCTTTTATTATACATAGTTATCTTTGTATATGTAATATTATTAGTCATCGAAAAAAACTGAAATAGTTTTACTTAATAATACCTAAACATAGCGTCACATACTCATTGATCACAACGTTTTCGTCTGAAATATCTAGAAGAAATGATTTTTGCCTTGCCTTTGGATGTTTCGTTATAAATGGAGAAATATTGTAGACTGTTTAAGTTTATATATAGCTCTAAGTTTCCACTATCTAAAGTAAAGGCCGCACTGTTTAATTACATTATAGAAATAATGTTTATATAAGTAATTTTATATAAGTAAGTACAAAAAAATTATATAAGTAGAAAGATTGCTCGTGGCTTTATTTGTCCTTTGTCCCTGTTCACTTTTTGTGTTTCGAAAGAATTATAATTTGGAAGGCTTATTTGAGAAAAAAAAATGAATTCTAATCCCAACTTGACTAAGAACGAGAAAGAATATATGTAGAGGAGAAAATGAAAGGTTTAAAGAAAATGGACACTTGGACCAAATGTTGCCATGTGTGTTCACGTCAGACAATTTCAGAACTTGGACGTGGAGTGGATCCAAGGAATTTCAGGAAGCAGCCAGATATCCTTAGATTTATAAAGCTAAATTGTCTGGCTACCACAAGACAGGAGGTCAGTTGACGGAGGTTGTGGTACGAGGGGCAGGTCACATGGTACTGGTCGACCAGCCCGGGACCATACAGAACCTGGTGGCACGCTTCACCCACAACAAACCATTCAGCCAGCGCTTTGGACTCCTTGAAGGATCCTTCATACAGGAATTCATTAAGAACCAGACAAATGTGTATTTGTAATTTCTAAATAAATTAATAGATAGAGGAGAAAATTTGGCCATTCACCGCACAGACGAAATATATTTCCCTTATTCTAAAGAAATCTTCTAGTCACGAGTCGGAATACCTCGTTTTTAAAGGGTTTTCTTTATAACTCCCCTTGTTAAGTTACTGAAATAAAAACCAACGGAAAGCTATGTTTTCAAAATTGTACAGAATAGTTAATATAAAACGAGACCGATCTGATTTTACTTGGGTAGTAAAGAACTAATTCTGTACATAATTGTAAGTTTTGTTTCCAGTTTCGATAAGGTTAATACATTTTAATAACCATAAGAACTTCTATGATATGTATTGTCATTTAAAACCAACATATTTTACATTTTTCAAACCTTACAAGCTTTGTTAAATGGTCCAATAGTAATTTTAATTAATCTAATAGAAATCGACACTACTGACGTGCACATGGAGTGAGCATTTATGTAACAAATTAGTATTATTACAGGCAATATAGCGCATATATAGCGCATGATCACAATGAAGTACTCTTAACCGACAACATATTTATTTGTTTATTTGAATAAAGATTTTATAAAATTATTTCGACCAAATTAGGTACCATAAAAACAGTTTTTGTGAGTTAATCTTAAAAGATAGACATATACTGTCGCGGAATGTTTTTTAGATCATTAAAAGAGCTATTATTCTTTAGAACATATTTTTTGTGTATCTTGAACCGTTTTCACGGCGCACGCAACGGAAGGCTTCAAAGATGAAATAATTTCTCCCGTTTTTTACATATTTACCACTATATCTTTGCTCCTATTAGACGTAGCGTAATGTTATATAGCCCACAGCCATCCTCAATAACTGGACTATCCAACACAAAAAGAATTTTTCAATTCGAACCAGCAGTTTCGGAGAATAGCGCTTTCAAACAAACAAACAAACAAACAAACAAACTCTTCAGCTGTATAATATTAGTATAGATCACAATATTAAAAAAATACGACTTTAAAATGTCCACAGAATACAATGTAATATTTTTTACCAATTTTATTAAAGGTAGAACTTCGATTGGGTATTTATGATCACATCAAAGCGAGAGAAATTTCATCTAATATTTCTTAATAGTAAACGTCAAACTTGAACCGATGTTATGAAGCGGGAACCAGTCACCGTTATGTGAGGTCATATGCTAATTTATCAAAGTCTGTGACGTGTGACACGAAAGTTAATAATATTAGATCTGGTAACTAAAATTACTCATATCAACTATTTGTATATTATGTGTGTCAAATATGGATCCATTTTTACGTAATATGTATTAATTAAATCAACTAGCTATCTTATTTCAGAATATTGCGTTAAGTTTGAAAACACTAACTGTATATTGATAAAGGTTAATAATACCATGCAAATTAAACCCTTTTATGAAAATTTTTACTATAGGATGTGGACATGGATGGAGACTTCAGATCATCAGATAACTATATTTTTAAGACTAAGTTAATTTATTTTTTACTTCATGTGCAGTGTTTCAGTCTTTTCAGATATCTCTAATATATTTGTTCGCTACTTAAAATCTCGTTACAAAGGCAGCCTCCCTACTATGATTATACAGAAAATTGTAGAAAACCATGGAATCCAAGTACGCTTCACCGAAGAGATAGATACTTTTAATTTTCAGGAAACAATTTTCATTGGTACGATTATGATTTTTATATCCATCAAATTCTACATAAAAGTTAAGTTTCCAAAATAGATTTTAAGTTTATTAAATTTCAGAGCCACTAAGCTGACGTTGCCATGTTAACATATAGGAGCCCTTCGTACGCCGAAAACAGTAGATCAGAACTTTAAAGTGGGGCAAACATTACTACTGCATAAAGTACAAATCCTACTAAATTTACCACTGCTCTCATATCTGGACTGGTGTACAAGGATAATAAGTCGATATTTTTGAAACCATTCAAAACGGAGCAGTGAGAGTTGTCGAAGATCCCGCGCTTACAGGCGTGCTACAGGATTATTTTTTTATTATTGTTTGTGTCCTACCACGTGAGTAAGGTAATGTATTCCGAAAATGTGTTATCATGATAAGCAAAACTCAGCAGAAAGTCCATCCTCACACCTTACCTTCCTATTTTTTATATTTTCTTTTAGTAATAAATAAAAAAAATGATTTTTCTTTTCAAACTTATGAGTCACAAGGTGTTGTATGATGGTTTTTGTTTATACTTATTTTATTTTAAAAATAGGCTATCACAAATTTTGTCTAGTAATTTCTGTATACAAACATTCCAATAAACATGAGGTAATAACTTATTCCATCACTTCTCTAAAATTACTTACACGCTTAAACAACTGGTCACGCAACGCAACAATATAAATAATATAAGTTGATACTATGCATTGTTATGGGTTATAACTTAAGTTTCCCATAGAGTTCAAGGATTTAGCTTTACAATTAACTTGAACTCAGACAACATTAATATAAATACAAATACACTCACAAAATAATTTGTTTTTATTCATAAAACAAAATAAAATTTGGTACTGCCTAACACCTTGCCCCGGGAACAACAAAAATTACTAAAGAACCTGGGAGCATTATAATGTAAAGTCGATATTATAACAGTCCTTACTTAAAGAAATTTAATTAAAAATAATAATAAAATCGAACTCTCCAAATCCATAACAAATCTTTAGAATTTTAGCACAGAATTAAAATTTTTGGATCAAGGCAAACAAACCAAAGTTTAAATATAGATATCAAATGAGTACTAAATAAAAGACCAACCAAGGAAGCAAATTGTGTACGCTATACATAAAAATGTAATTTCGTTTTTATGGGGACTATTTTGGATATTAAGACAACAAATGATTTAAATTGATACCTGTCGGTTTATAACTGCTTGCCGTAGATTGATTACATCTATTATAAAAACTTTTATTGCAAAATTATGTTAGTTGATATTTCTCCAACCCAATTCATTAAAAACGTTTAGAACTAGTCGACAAGTGAGTTATTAAAGTAATCTTGGAATAGTTTCAAAGAACTTAAATAAAAGAGATTCTTAAATATGATATGGAGTTGAACATCCTGCAGATTTTGCGTGGAAGTTGAACGTAAGGTCAATAACACGATTTTTTCGATTTTTATACACATACATTATCCTAAATTTCGAATTAATAATCTCAAAAGTCATGATTTTAATACCGTTAAAAAAAATTAAAGAACATTCAGCAAAACTTCACATTGTTTACGTTCTTCATACATATATGAAGCAGAAACCACCACGTATACATATAAATCATATAAATATATAATCAACACTATAAAGTCTACAACAAAATATAGTATAAATGGTAGCAGGTAGCGGGAAGTCATCTAAAACATTATTACTAACATTTGGTTTGCAAATACTTAATTTTCTGTTATGTGTGTACTTTTAAGGACATTTCCTATTTCGACTTATGACAATAAGGCATTTAATATACAAGTTTCTAGGCCTCGGCTGTCAATTGCAAACCAGTGCTTTGTCTGAATAAGTGAAAGTACTGTCATTGTTAAAACTAGAATAATCAATATTTTTAAATAGTTTTAATTTATAAATATATTATTTTAACTATTGAAATGAGATTAGCCATACAATTTTTTAAGGTAAAATTTGAAAACGAAAAATCAATAAAGTATAACAATAAATTTGTAAGTTTTAAAATAAAAATTATTTATATTAGCTACAAAACTAACATGCATAAGCTCATCAAATAGCTTTATTCCTTATAAGAGGATTACAGACAAGTAGAATATAAAAAATAAACATCACTCCAATCACGATAGAGTCCTAGGTTATTAAATATTACTTATAAAGCTATTGTTATTAACACAACCGTAAAAGTTATTTGCTAGTGATGTCTTTGGAATATTTCATGTACCATATAGAATTGTTCTTAAAAGCCTTTTAGCTGAAGAGGTTCTTTAACAAACCATACTTTGCATAATCACACGTTTTACTACATCCGGCTTGGTTATAGTAACTTAGGTCCACTTTATTCTTTGGAATGGTTAATAAAGCACACACTACGAATTTAATACAATAAGTTTATTACTAGGCATATTAAAATTTTAAACAATATATGTCAATGCAAAAAATACATAGAAGAACTGTTATTTCACAAAATGACTCACTTCTACAGCTGTTAATGTAAACTATAAAATTGAATTGCAAGTAAATTACTCATATTATTTTAAATTTAACATAACGTTCGCAATTACTTGTAAATTAAACGTAGTCTCAAGAGCGGGAGATCTGTATAGCCTTGCTTTGGACGTTCAATCTGCAAGTTCTTTTCACTGAACAATGATAATGGGAAATGAGGAAAAGAAAAACGTTTGTACAGTTCAGATAAAAGAAGAAATAATGACAGCGCATACTTAATCAAACATATGTGTTGGGTGGTTGAAGGTTTGTCTACTGTCTAGTCTATTAATATGGTAAACATTTGCCCTAAACGAATCGACGTATTTTATTCCATATTATGTGCAATTATAAGCCATAGATGCTCCCGTTTAGCCTATCCTCATTCTCTAATGAGAATATAGTCATTGATTCTCATAGCAGTTTTAAGAGTTAAAAACATTTTTTGTAACCAATTATTCTATATTGTTGATTTAAATCTATACCGTTTTGTTTTAAATTAACTATAATATGTATGTTCTGTTTCATTATTTTGACGGTCAAACTGTATTATGGTGCTGGGCGGTCAATGTCATAACTCACAATTTGCAAAATTACTTAGAACTGGTATTTGCCAGCGGGGCTATTAAAGGTCACACAATTTATTGACATCCAGGCGGATAGCTTAAGACAACTGTAATTTACGTCACAAGTACAAAAGTATATAGTCAATTACAAGTAAATCATATAAATTTATTTTATGACTTGTTGGAATTATATAATGAATTTAAATTCATTATATAATTCCAACATCTTTCTTATTGTGTATAATTTTAA